ATATATATCATGTAAATAAAATAAGATAAATGATGAAAAAAATTTATCTACCATTATACAACTAACATAAAAAAAATTGTAAATATTTAATCAACATAAAAAAATAACAAGCATAACTTGTATTAATAATTTATTAAATTCAGCCATTAATTTTTTAAAACGTTTATTAAAAGCTGGTGTTCTAACAATTAAAACTTCAATTTCTTTTTTAATAAATCAGAACTCACATGCATAATGCATTCCCACTATTTCTATATATATATATATATACACACACACATTACGAGCGTACTATTAAAACTTTTCAATAATTACATCTAACAACCAATAATTTTTTTCCTTTTTTTGAATGGCCCTAACCACCAGCATCTTGTCCAGAAGCAACTCTAATCTTTTACTCCTCTTCAATTGTTCTTTTCTATTTCTCAAAATAAACCCACAAACTAATTTTAAACTCTCAAATTACTTAATTCGGTTTAAACTCTTTTATTTTATAATTTAAGCTTTATAAAACTAAGTACAAGTCTACTTTTTACCTCTTTACCTTAATAAATTTATAGGTTTTAACCCCACACTTTATATTATGATATTTTTAACTTTTTACCTAAATAAATGTATAAGTTTTAGCTCATTACCTTATACTATGATATTTTTAACCCTTCATTTATACGAATTAAAGAAAATAACCTTTATTTTAAATCAAATTATAATGTTTTGTTAGTTCTATTAGTTGACCATTAACTCGGTTAGCTAACTGTTAGTATCCGTTAGCATTTCGTTATAAAAAATATGAAATTTAAATTTAATTTTATTTATAGTTTCGTTAACAAAATACTAATGCAACGCTAACAGTTAATTAACAAATTAACAGTCAACTAATATAACTAATAAAATATTATAATTTGACCTTAAGTAAATATTATTTTCTTCAATTTGTATAGGTGAGGGGTTAAAATATCATAGTATAAGATAAAGAATTAAGATCTACAAATTTATTAAGATAAGAGACTAAAAGTAGATTTTAGCCATAAAACTATATAACAAAAATAATTAAATGAAAAATGCCTCTATTTTTAATTTAATAATTATTGTTCCACGGTCCATACATGATAATTATTAACTTGATTAACATGTGAAAACGGAAAATGGAACCGAGACTCCACGGGCATGACAAGAAACTATCGATATGAGGAGAGGGCGAGGTAAGGGGTGCCCCTAAATTTTTGAAAATTTTCAAATTTGGTGCATGTATTATTAGTTTGCTTTTTCAGGTTTTTAAATATTATATGTATCATATGAAAGTTATTCTCATTTAATTCTTCATAATCTTTGTAATTTTTCATACTAACAATTTAATACTAATACAATTCATAATATTTTATTACAACCACTATTTCAAATAAGGATAGAATATTATGACCTAATTAAATATTTTGTAAAAGATGAAAATATTATAATAATATAAATAAATGAATTTTCAAAATATTGAATAAATTATGAATCAAGGTTCTAAATTAAACTCAAATTCAAAAATCCTCTCCTAAGTTTTTGAATTATTTTAAGATCTTCAGAAAATGATTTACTTAACAAAAAAACTTTAGCTAATAAAGAGACAAAAACTAGTATTATGTAACTCAAAATTTTTTTTAAAAAATATTAAATAAATTTATTTGTTTCTTTTTCTAAAAGATTTTTAAAAACATATTAATAAAAAATAGACAATCAAAATTAAATTGTTTTAAAAAATTAACTAATTTCATAAAAGATACTTAAAGATTTAAGTTGTCAATGTCAATAAAAAATTTTACCTTCCATCACTTAATTTTCTAGCTTCATCGTCGTGAATCTTCTTCTTCTTCTTCTTTTTTTAATGATGAACAAACATAAATTTGGAAGAAAAAGATTTGAACTTAACGCTTAAAGTTGGTAATACACATTTTACGAAATCTTACAGACAATCAGCTTTCCAGGCTAAGTGCCGCCATGAATTATCTTTGAAAGTGCAAGAAAGTGGAAATTATATGCCATGGAGCAGGTAACCAAGGTTAAGGTAATTTATCAACAAGGATAGTTTTATAAATGTCAAAATCTAGGGTGAGATGTCAATTTTAATTGTCATTTCATGCAAGCTGTCTAATGTTTTCTTCGAATTTTGATTGTAAAACTTGCCTAGTAAAAAGCATTGCATTCATGTGATTTTATCTTGACCCTTTCGCGCTTCTCTTTAGTTGAAACGAAAATTTCTAAGACCCTGCTATATGTATGTTTTTTTTTAAATGATTAGTACACTTTTTTGTTTAATATATCTGTTAATATTTATTGATTGAGTCATTAAAACTTGTAATTTTAAATTTTTTACTTTTAATTTAAATTTAAAAATAATAATTTTTTAATGAGTATTGTAAAATATATTGAATCAAAATATGTCTATATTATTTTTTGTCTGCCACTTTTTTTTCTTTTATTTGTTTGGACAATCAAAACTTTGTTAAAATAGTTTATATACATCTTGAAACAAATCTCTCCTTAAGAAATTAATCTCTTTTTGGGTGTAGATTTAATGCATTCAAACAAATTATCATTATTAATTGTTAGTTTTTTGACAATAGCCCTAAAACTTAAATTTTAAATTTACTTTACAAGACAACACTTATCTATGAATAAATCATTTGAGATTGCCCTTATATGTGTATTTACATATATTAAATTATATCTGTGGTTTTGTTTGGCAAATGATGCAAGACAAGATTGCTACTAAATCAAATCCTTTTTATAGAGGTATCTTGTACCATCATAATTTTCTTATATGTGGATTCTGTGATGATGATGAGGATACAAAACATCTTTTCTTGCATTGAAAATTTGCAATTAAGGTGTGGAATTTGTGCTACCAATGGTGGGGGATTGGGATTGTGTCGGTTATGGCTGGTGGCTGTGCTTGGAATCTTTTCAACAGCATTATGGTTTGGTTATGAACAAATATGCGAAGGTGGAATGAGGTCCAGTAATGTGTTCTAAGATGGTTGGCAGGATATTTTTTTGGCTGTGAGGATCGTTGTTGAGCATGATTGTGTGGTTGTAACGGATTGGTACACCTCTTGTAGTTCGTTTAATAAAACATTTTTTCCGTTTATAAAAAAGACCAAATCTCTTATTTATATTCTGTACATTTTTTTTTTATTGTTATCACTTTCTATAATTTAAATTTTATAAAATATCTTAAATTATCAACAAAATTAAAGTGTAAATAAGGAATTTAACTATTAATTTTTGAATATTTTATAAATTTTAAATTATTAAGGGTGTTAATTAAAAATAAATTTTTTTTAAAGTGTTAATTAAAAAAATGATAATATGTATGATGTAAATAGAGAGTTAAAAAAAAAAAAAAGTTCAAACATATACAAACCCAACAAATGTTAGGCCCAATATGTTTCTTGAAAAGGACCAATAGAAGATTTAGATTGAAATTGAAGAGTGTCTTGTGCTTGTAGTTCTAGTTCTAAAACCTAAGGGCCCAGTTTTTTATTTGACTAAGAGAATTTATCTAGAGCCCATCAGATGATGGATGTATCATGTATGGTCCATTGATTTGTCATGGTAATTATTACTATTTAATTTTAATCATCACTGACTAGTTTATTAAAAAAATATAAACTTATAATTATTAATTATTTATAATTATTTATAATTATTACCATTTAATTTTAATCAGCACTCATCAAATTATAATTTCTCAAAAAAAAAAAAAAAAAATTGGGTTTATACGCTCAAGGGCTTATTGGTCAGAAATTATTTTGAGTGCTAGATAGGGAAAAAAATACAAAAACTCCCAAAGGCTAGAAAGCTAGGCTTCTCTCCTTTTCCCCTTCTAGTTTGGATGGATATTTAAAATGCGCATAACTACGTATGAAAATCTAATCCTGTGATTTTGAGGCAAAGAGAAAGATTGATGCCTTTGTAGTCATGAGACTCAGACAGGACACTGTCTTTTCTGGTTTAGCTTTATGCTCTTGCTCTGTTCTGTTTGAAATTTGAGATTTTTGTTAGACAATGTTAGCATCTAAAGCATATGATCTTTCATGGAAGATAGAACAATATTTGGAATACAATTCCTATATCCCTAAATCCTACTCTCCACGCCATATTCTTTTGCTTCTCCAATAATTACTAACATCACTCCAAATTCCCCTTATCTGCATATATCCCATCTTCGAAAACCAACATTCTCTCAAAATTATCAATGAAGCATTATTTTAATAATTAAAAACAATTCCAATATTATAAAAGGTTTAAGATTCAAATTTCTCGTCCCAAATATTAAGGGAAAAAAGCCAATTTACAGTTACATGTCCTTAGTATTTTATGATTTAGTAATGTACAAAAGCTTAATTACAACTGAAATAAAGCTTAAAAACAAAAAAAAAAAAAAAAAAAAAAAAAAAAAAAAAAAAAAAAAAAAAAAGACGAAAAGGAAGAAGTGTTTTGGTTTACTCCAAAACAGAGCACTCTTCATCCTTTCGAAACTGCTTTTGCCTTTCAATGAATGCCTCAATGATGTTTCGAAACTCCTCGCTGCTCATGTTATCTTCGGGGCAAGAATTTTCAGAAAAATCATTCAATTTCTGATTCTTCTCCATCTTAGACCGCCGGAGCACTTGGTGGCAAGCTTTGTTGCTGCTCACCGGTCTGAGATTCTGCGACCAACTCCTCCGATGTGCTCTAGTATTAGTATTCTCTTTGAAACGAACCTGTTTCTTCTGTTTCTCTCTGTGCTCCGTTCCCTCTGTTTTCCTCTGTTTTTCTCTATACTCTGTTTCGTAGTTAAGTGTGGCAGCCTGACTCTTTTCACTTTTCTCGAGAAACTCTTCGTAAAAATCAGTTTCGGAGCTCTTTCCGGTGTCGTCCTGACTGGAGAACTTCCCGGAATTTGTGAAGAGAATGATGACGATTAAGTTTCCGACAATGAAAATAAAGCGAGGGCTCTCGAGAGTAACCTTCAAGTCCCGGAAATACCCACCAGAGTTCTTGACGGCCGCCGGGAATTGAATTGTAAGCCTGGAAATGAAGATCAAAACAACACAAACCTCAAGAAGCCTCAGCAGGTTGGCTATCTTGCATCTTCTCCGATGCTTCAAGATTGCGTTTCTCTTCTCGAGTTTTATATCAAACGAATCCATTCTTAGAAAGAGGTTGGAGAAATTCAGGGAATTTTTGAAGAAAGAAGTAATTTTAATGAGGATTCAAAGGTTCTCACTCGAAAGAGAATTGGGTGTCCATGGAAGCTTGAGCGCCGGCTGTTTCTCTTAGAAGAGAAGAGAAACAGAATGCATATAGAAGAGAGAATTCTCTGTTTGGGTATATGGAAAATCAGGAAAGAAAGTGAAGGAAACAGGGCATGAAAATATGATTTCTGTTTGCTCTGTATGGGGTAATTTTCTCTCGATGCTCTGAAAACTTGGGAGCTTATTTATAGAACTAATTCAGGAGCATTTTTCTTTTCTTGTAGGCCAAAAAAAAAAGGAGCATTTTCTTTTTCTTTTTTCATTTTTCATTTTTTTTTTCTTGTATTCCAACTTTTTCTTCTTCTTCTTCTTCTTCTTCTTCTTCTTCTTCTTTTTTTTTTTTTTTTTTGGTCTAAAGAAAAGGAGGAGACAAATTATATTCCTGACATTTATTTTATTGAAATATCTTACACGAGGTGGGTTTTTTATTTCTTCTATTTTTCTCATAAGAAGCTTCGTTTTTATTGTAAATAGGTAGGGCCTATATACTATATTAAGATCATACTATTTCTCTATTAAAAAAAGAGATTATACTATTTCAAATGATAAGAATATGGGACTTTAAGTAGGAAATTGTTTTATTAAAATCTTTGTGGTGGAAGAAAAGAGATTAGAAAAATAAACTGTTATTGTATAATCCAATCATTTGATGTAAAAAAAAATATATCATAGTTAATATTTTATTTTTTTTAAAATAATGATGACATTTAATCTTAAAATAAATAAACCTTCTTATACTGATTTATAAAATGTTTATTATATAGAAAATAATAATGCATATAATGCCACAATCAACACTTATAATTAACTATTTTTATTTTAGTGACCACATAAGATATTAATTAATCATTTAATACTATATTATCATTGTAAATTCATAATTTTATATAAAATTTTTGATTTATCATTTTCATTATTATATCTAACAACAAATCATGTTAACAATAATATAGAAGCTACTATATATGTTATTGTCAATTAATGTCGCAAACACAAAAGAAAGTTTGGGTGGGAATGTATTTGCATCTAAAGAACAAAGAAAATGAATTTGAAACAATTTTTTTGTACTATTTTTTTTGTATAACTTAATGTGTTATTTAAATGATTGATTATTTTAATTCATATAAAAATCATGATATTAAATATATCAATTTATTTAATGACACGTAAAAATTATATAAAAAGATAATATAAAAAAGTTGTATAACTCCGTCCAAAAAATAAAGACAAGTTAATTTTTTAAGGTTAAAAATTAAAAGGTGAACATTTTTTGTTTAATTCCAAAAAAATCTGGTGAAACAGACTTTGAACCCAAATGCTGAATATGATAATACATACAGTTTAAAATTTTGCATTTTACTAAGTTAAAAAAAAAAAAAAATCGTTTTACTAGACTGTTGGTTAACGGCCAACCAGGTGGCAAGTTGGGAAAGAATCACATGCCACTGTTTTTTTTCTTTTATAATGAAAAATTAATTATTTGATATTTTAAAAATTAATATTTTACATTTGAATTTTAAAATAAAAATTTTAATTTAATAAATATTAACTAAATAAAAATTTGATTGGTGTTATATGTCAGTGTCATGGAAATTGACATTTCCTTATTCTGTAAGAATCATGCCACGTAACGGCTGCTTTGTTTTGTGGAGCAATTTGTAAGAATTACAAAATTGACTGGTTAATTTTAAAGAATTCAAAAATTAATACTCCAAAATCAAAAGTATCTTTCAATAGGCATGCAGCATTAGGAAGAGTATTTTTATCCTTTTATGATTAGACAAACAATAACACTAGAGAAACGCTACTAAGAGTCGTTTTTTGCACTCATCTTCAACACTCACGATGTAATTATTTCATTTGTTTATAATTTTAAATTTAAATAACTAATTATATAAACTAATAATAAAAGAATGTGCCATGAGTGTTGATAAAGAGTGCATAAAAAAAGTGTCTATAGCACTTTCCTCAAAATTAATTAGTTGGAATAAATTTCAAAACTTAAGACTTTCTTTAATTAAAATTTCCCTTCCATCCCCTCCCTTATCACTTCCCTCTAACCAAACAAGCCTTAAGTTTTTACTTGGAGTTAATTTATGATTTAGTTATTCATTCACCTATTTTTGTTATGTTATTATTTTGGTAAAACCCACTAAATTGATCCCACCTTGGATTTAAAATAATAATAATTATTTTTCTATAATAAAATGAGAAATGTTTTTATAAATTGGATTATATTTTTAATATGCAATTTTATTTATGAATTTATTAAAATGCTTTTGATAAATTTATTTCTTATATTATTTCATTAAGAATACCTTTAATAATTTCATAAGTTATATTGTACTTTTAATGTGCAATTCAACTTATAAAACATAAATTCTACAATAAAAAAATTAAAAATTTATAAATATTTTACTTATGTTATTCCCAATTAGAAAAGGGTATGGTTCTCACATTTGCTATTAATATTTTGATATTGAAGTCCCTAATACGTTCATCTCACTTCTTCTTAATTGAAACACCTTTTCATAACCCTCGCAACCCGTTAACCTTAATTATTTCCTCATATAGCTTGGTGACATTCCTTCATCACCTTCATTGCATGATTAGTGAGTCCTTTGGGCGATAAGAAAGTGCCCTTCTCAACAGGAATTATTGGAGTATCTATTGTCGTGTTAGGAAGAAGGCTGGAAAGTGATTAACAGAAAGTACTTCTACAAAATAATCGAGCCAGATCTCTGGTCTCCATTTGCTCCCATTATTATTAAGATTATCCCTCATCAACTTGCAAGTGGAAAAAGGAAAACCCTGCCTTTTGAGCTTTAACTTATGCTGTGGATTTGGGTCCCTTTCCCTCTAACCAATTCAAAAAAACAAGATGCTATTTGTTTCATGTGTTAAAAGTAATTAATTCCACGTCGAGTGCCACTTTTCTTTTTGCTAATAAAGGCCTTAAAAGTAAGTACTAGATAAGGCATATTGCTCACCTGACTCAAATCCTGATGATTCAAAATTTAAATAAATTAATTAATATTTTGAGGGGTTAATTAACTTAGATGAGGTGGCGGCTTGTTAATTCACCACCTTATTAACCAAGATTTAGCCTTTTATTTTCCGATGAAAATTTATTTTCAAACCAAGAAGAAATAAGAAAATTTATCAACCTCATAATTGATATTTTATCTTTAATTTTTTTTATATTAATCTTTCAATATCTGGTAGTTACATTGGATCTTGACTAATCTGGAATCAAGTTACATTGGATCCTATAAGAGAAGACACTCTCTCAGCACAAGACTTAAATTTGAAATTTTGTTTAAGGAGAACCGGGTATTTTACCTTCAATTGAATTGAAGAGATGCATTGTTTGATGGATGCCACTATTGACTCAAAACACCAAATAATTACTATAGTATTTTATTTAAAAAATAAAACAAATTGTAAAAAAAAAATCTATTCCTCTATTATTACTCAAAAAATAATAAAAAAATTAACACTTTTCACGACTCTCTCTCTACTCTAGTACTCTCCTCCTTCTGACTACACCTTCTCCAAGTTCAGTCTTTTTTGGTGCTTGAAAGCCTTCAGCTTCACAAGCTTTTGGGTGCTGGGAAGCCCTCAGGCTTTTCAAGCACAGTAGAGCCGGCCTCTCGTGCTCGTGTCTGATGGTCACCTTGAGTGGTCTGTCGATTTGTTTTGTGGCTCCTCTGGTGGCCTTTTTCGTTTCTTCCTTTACTGTTTCTTGATTTTATTTTATTTTTGTTTGTTTTCTCATATCCGGTGGCCAACAAGTCAACAAAGCAAAATTAGGGGTTGGCCGTTGCTTGCCTTGATCTCCTTGCCATAACATCCTGGAGAGTGAGCTTATCTTCAAGAGTAGATTGAAGGATATTCAGCTTCTGAAACGGTCAACTAAAAAAATTTGTAAAAATCAAGTTTCTTAAAAATTGTTCGTGTGATTTTCACTGTCCTTCTTTTATTTGTCCTTTGTTGAACTTAATCTACTTTAATTGTTATCTCCAGTTGAGTTTATTTGTTCTATCATTTGGTCTTATCACTAAGATCAAAATCTTTTATGTA